GAGTGGGAAACGCACCCCCAGCAGTGCTGATAAAATATTCCTAAAACATGTGTGATAGTACACATCAAATGCAGTTCCATTAATGAAGACAAATCCGAGTGCCTACTTTGCCAAGGAATAACAAAATCTACAAGTCTGGAAATCGTTAGTATGTAATTCAGCTGTCTGAAGGGTCAAAGATCTGCAAACATGGTCCCTGTTTGTAAAGAGCAAGCTCATTTAGAACAGACAAAACAGCTCAATAACTGTCCACCACATTTCCTCTGCACTGTCAGGGGTGTTGAGGTTTCATGCTAGGTCCAGTATTTAGGAGCTCTGTGAAGCAAGTTAAAAAATTTACCAGACACTATTGCTATGTATATCTGGACTAATAAATAAACTACATATAACTGCTGGATGTAAGACATAACCCTTACTATTGGTGCATTTAAATCACTGCTGGAAAACTTCATGTGGAAGTGTTGCAACACTTCATGTGTTGCAACTCCCCCAACAAATTCAGTGTTTTTCGAAAAGTAATCAAACCAAGTTGCGGTTAGGACTACAGTACTTTATTTTATTTCAAAAATATGTTTTGGAATATAATGACTAAACAAGAAATAAGATTAAGAAAAAACAACAAAATTGTGAACTTGAAATCACAACAATAACAATTTATTATTATTATTATTATTATTGTTATCATTATTATGATTATTATTAATTTGACTATTTTTAAACTGATACTGAATTCAAGATTCAAGAGCCCTTCATACAGGCTTCTCAGTCAGGGATGTCTGCTACATATAGCTACAGTGCCTGCGCTTTTTTCAGTGGTGATTTCCTTCTTGCCATTCTGTCCTACATTCTTTGCAGCTCTTGCTGATATTTAAGATCTTTCACATGTGTAAGATTTCCATTTGAGCTTACAAATAGTCAAAAATAAAATATAACACATCAAATGTGTATGTTTCAATGGAAAGGACTTTTTTAGAAAGGCAATGAAAGAATGGAGGTGCAGAGACACTAGGAAACAGACTGCAGGATATTTTTATTTAAACTGCAACACAAACAATACCTTCTCTGGGAAGTAAAGGAAAAAAAAGCACAAATGATCACAACTTATGTTTCTTGGATGCAACACATTTCATAAAATTGTTCTCTAATTGCATAACTATGGCTTGCCAGGATAGGTTCTGGCTCCCCTGTGACCCTGTATTGGATAAACCGGTTAGAAAGTGGATGAATCGATGTACAACTATGCTTCAAAAACATGACCAGCATAGCACCACCTACCATTTACATGAGTGTTGTGTGAAAGCAACTGTGTGATGATGGCTGGGTCAAAATCACAAGGAGTGCAACACTTTTCAAAGACTCCCATCTTACACAAGTACACTGATAGGCTGAAGAAACTGTAGCTTTTAAGTCTTGTATGGAACATTCTGAGGGGACCTGATACAACTATTCAAAATCCTCAAAGGCACTGAAAGGCACTCAGATTTCTTCAGAATAAACAATGGTACATTTATCCACATGGAAACTACATTGAAGTGCAGGTTAAAACCCATAACATGAGGCACTTCTTTACTTAAAGGGTTGCGGGAGTGTGGAACAATCTTCCCAGCCATGTGGTTGAAGCTGATACCCTGGCTTCCTTCAACAAAAAAAGGTTGGATGACATCCCTGGAATAATAAGCTACTAAGTACCAAATGAGCGAGATAGGTCCAATGGCCTCCTCTTATTGGTAACTTTTCTTCTTAAGCACTGTTGGGGTCTGGCCCCCCTGGAAGGAGCGGTCCAACATCTCTTGGATGCCATTTAGGCATCTGACGCACAACAGGAAATGCATCGCAAGGTTAACCATGTTTGGTTCAGCAGGTTCCATCTCAGTGGTAACTGCTTGGGCTGGCAGTCCAACAGAGCCAGTTTTCCTACCCATAGTGGTGGCTGAGAATCCCTCATGGAGTACCACAGGGAGTAATGGGTGGACGTCTGGCCCACACGCTGTTATCACAACCTCTTAAACAAAAGTACAGCCCAGCAGGGATCTCGGGTCCAGCCAGCAAGCGAGTGTTTGCCAACAGGAGATATACACAGTCAGAGGCTGTATCCTGTGTGGAACATGGACCTGGCATAAGACGCCAGTCTACGGCGGTCAGGCATGGAAGATCCCCTGTGGTAGCATCTGGACAGCTACCACCATGAGGTCCAGCAGTTAAGAGAAGGGTTGAACAAGCATGTGCTTGACAACTGTAAAGCACAACCTCTAGGGATTCATGTCAGGGGGCAGAGATGCCAAAATGATAAAAGAAAATCACAGAAAAGATCAATCTTGGATCAGTTTACAATGAGGCCTAAGGTGCCCAGGAGCTGCAATACCTACTGCACATTCTCCTCTATCCAACAGCCAGCATATTCCATCAACCAAGCTTCAAGATTGCTTGGTATGTTACAGATAAAGAAAGGACTGGAGATACACTATGTGTTATTCTTTGGGACAAGTGTCACGCCCTCTGCAGCCAGAGGGCGCTCCTTCTCTGTCTTGTCCCTAGTTTCCGGTCTGCTGTCCTTCCTGTCCCTCTCTTTCCCTTGGGCTATATATTTCCGGGTCTTGCACTCTGTCCTCGCTCAGCATTGTTGTTCGGATGTCCTGAGACCCGCCTAGCACCAGGGCGCCCCACGTCCGCTCCCTGAGGGCATAGGTTTCTATACGGCATTCCTGAACTCTTTGCACTAATGAGCCCGGGCCTTTTTCCCGTCTCGCCGCTACGCATATGGGTCTTTTTCCGCTCTCCTGCTCCTCACGGTTAGTCCCTTTGGACGTCCGTGACAACAAAAAGTACCAGTAATAAAAGTATTCTTGTCAGTCCTTGGCTGCACGGGGTGGCTTGCCCTAATTACAATCCAGAATCAGAGAAATTAAGTCTTATAGGATGAAGGTAACCCAGCAGACTGTTAGAGCAATGCTCCACGCGGTTGAGGAGGAGTGGTGTGGGCTTTGCATCTGTGTGACGCAGTTAAGAAGCATGACCTCTGCAGCCAGAGGAACAAGTGGATCTGCGAGAATGCCAGGGAGTCTTCTGGCACTGTAATGTTTAGAAGGCATTTGTATGACAGTGGAGTGCGTGGGACCAGTGGTGGGTCTTGCCTCTCTTTCATGTGGTTTTGTCATTGAAGACTCTCAAGTTTAGGTCCGTGGGGAGTTTCTGGGTGCCCAGAGGCCAGGGAAGCCAAAGAGAAAGTAAAGTAAAGCTGCAGCAGATGAAGAGAGTAAGAAAGTAAAGCGAAGAAAACGAAACTTCCAGGACAACATTTTTCAAACAGCTCTGACAGTGCTCTCTGCAGCTGAAACAGTTCCTGGTAGGTGTGCTTTCCATCTTCACTCTTGCCAGGTCCACAGGTCTCACACACTGAAGCTCACCTGGCTCAGACTGCAGGGGTTTGGAAGAGGTGCCTGGGCTGCACCCCAGGCTGTATCATCCCTGATGGATTTTTTTTTTCTATCAAATTATACTTTATTTCCAAAAGCAACAGCTCACAATAGAAACATGCTCACAATCAGTAAACATTCTAGCCAGGTACTGTATGAACTTCACATGCAATAAAAACGTTCAGAACGGGGGTGATTGTCCATTATCAATCCATGCAAGTGGATGATGGGGCCGGATTTGCACAATTAAAGAGTCTCTCCAAGCCCTACTACTTGCTTTTGTTCACTAGTCCCTGAACAGGGCCCAGTCCTTTCCAGAGCTGTCTCGCTGTGGAGAAAACCCAATTGGCAACATTGCGTCCCCTGAGGGAATAATGATTCCAACTGACTCTAGCAAAGAAAATGAGGGTCTGGCAGGACATTTTCATTTAATTAATACTGGGCTCCACGCTGCAAACTGCGCAGAACCCAACTGGAGCATGAATTGGGTTAAATAATCCTTGAAACCCAGCATAATTTTAGGAGGCTGAACACAGAAGGTTTTTCTTTTATTCATGGCAACTGACATTTTAAAAGTTTAGCATCACCATTTTTCTTGTCTCATCTAGGAGCTCCGAACTGCTTGACGGTGGGAATGAGAAAGTGTGGGTTGACCCCCTACCAAAAATGCCTCCTTCAAACATGTCATCTTTGGAGACATCACAGACACCACAATCTCATACTGGAGGTTCAGCAGTGATTAGAGGAGAGGCATGCCGCTCACCAACAGAACTGCATGCCTATAAGCTCTTGGGAGGCAGCAGTGGGAACTGTGCTGCTGAGAATCCCAACCTAACCTCAGCACTGCCACTAGGGAAATTCCAGTCACCAGTGACACAGACCCATCTTGAACCCGTGATCATAGCATAGAGCTCAACTTACTCTCGCTCGAGTCTTTTCACCAGTTGGGCCACTCAAGGGGTCAAATACACTCTTTTATTCTTTATATAAGTGAACCTAGAATTTCAGTTAACACTGCAGTGCAACTTGACTTTTTAAATGATTAATTCAAGGCATTTATATAGTGGTTTTAATCCCAAAGAATCCCAAAGCACTTTAGATCTTAACAATAGGGTGCTAACCCTGGTTTCCAGGCTGAATTACACTCCGGCTATGTATAGTCTAATTCAGAATAAATGCAGGTGGGGCCTGTACTTAAGTGGGAGATATAATGGGTTCGCTCCCTTATAATTTAGGATCTTTTGAGATAAAAAGCACTATATAAATGCAAGCAAATATAATGACTTAAGATATGTGGTTGAGGAAGAAAACCAAACTATTGAAAAATGATCAGTGACAATCAAACGGAGATCTGTTCATTAAAATTAATTCATTAAAACAGAGATCAAGGCCAAAGAAATAGACTTGAAAAATAATGGTATTTCTTTGCTATTGTTAGGAGAAGTTATTTCAGTTCTCTTGGAAGAGGAAGGTCAGGAATTACCATAACCATGGCTAGCAGCATTATTACTATTATTATTGATTTATTAGGCTGACACTTTCTAGCCAAAGTCTTAAGCGTTAGTGTAATTTAGAGAGGAAACACACCTGATTAACATGAGGGACGATGCTGCAATCTTCCTTTAGCTCTTCCAGGTGCTGGATAAGGAAATTGCTCACCCCAATGGCACGGCACACTCCTGTCACAGAGAGGCAAACAGAAGCAGAGCGAAATAATAAGAAAAAAAGTGTCTGCTCGTGCAGGACAAGACAAAGTCAGATATCCTAGTAGAAGCGAAAGGTACTGTAGCTTTCCCTTCTACAAGGGCAGGGCTCAGACAGCTTTATCTCTATGGGGTCCTTTTTTGGGGGAATGTCCTGGAATATAGTACACAAGGAATACCCAGGGGTTTGTAGCTTCAGCCAAATTCTGGGAACAGGTCCTTCCAGTATAAAGTAAACAACACCAAAGACTGCGTCACTTATAGTGATGATTGCCAAGATTTCACCAGGCTGGATCACGGTCCAGGGTGTGTGAGCAATGAGCTGCAAGGACACTCTGTTCCCAGTCGGGCCATGACAATCCAGAACCCAGGCTGCTATCAGCAGAGGAAATCTGAAGGACAATTAAACTAAACAGGGGCGTTACAGTGAACACTATAATTAGCTGCCTTGTTAATGGTAAGCACAGTTGCTAAGAAATCCATTAGAGTATATATAAAACACATCATGAGCTCTGTTGACGAACTCACACAAACATGCAATATAACTGAGGCTTACTGTTTTTTTCAATTTTTTATTCCTTTTTTGGCCTTTACGAACTCACAATACAAGAGGATGGGGCTAGCGACAGAGATGGGTGAGGCAGGAAACAGTCAGTTTAGAGGGGTCAGTCTGCAGCCCAGAGGTCAACACGGAGGAATGGAAAATGTTCTTCAGAAGTGCACTTGATGTCATCCAGTCTTTCCTGTTATTTCCCATCTTACGTCTTATGTAACCTCTTAGACGTGGTCCCTCTTATCCCTTGAAGAATGAGCCAGCATTATTTGTTGATTTTGGCTTAGACAATGACGTGAAATGCTGACTAACAGTCCATCGAAAGCAGAGTTCTAAAACACTTCTGAGAGTGAATTAGGAGGTTGTAATCATGCAGTTGAGAGCCTCAACGAATCATGCTGTTATTCAGTGAGGCCCTGTTTCATACACTCTAATATACTGTAAGGCGCTAAACAAGCACCCTTCATCAGCAATCGCAAAATGATTGCTGTTTCTGTGTTACCATTATTAAAACGTAGATTCCAGTTGTGTGCGGTGCACTTTGAGTGCTCTCCTTCTGCCGCAGGCTCAAACCCCCTCCCAACGACCAGCCAACGTGTCGTTCACACACAGCACGTGTGCACACGTGTCCACACACACACTATCGTCAGGCTATTTACTTACTTCGAAAAATGATCTGTTGGTGGTTTGTCTTGCTAAAATACCGTACAAATGATTTCCCTATCTAATAGTCATTGGTCAACCCTGCTGAACAAGACTTAATTTATCACTGAATGATAACCTTGAAAAAAACTTTGCAATCAAACTTGCCACAATATTGTCCATATCTATACCACCAAAAGTCATTTTTACTATTGAAAGAGAGGGAATATTGGCAGGATGGACTCGCCGGACTAACCCATAGAATGAGCTTGAGCCTGATTTTGATGTAAACACATACACAACCTTCTCCACATCATGGAGCAGATGCCTTATGCTTAATTCAAAATCTGACTGGACAATTTTATTGTCATCTGGTTAATACAGTTACATTGAGAGACCCTTCTGGAAAACTGAAGAACGTGCACAGAGCCACAGATAGCTAGCTTCTCTGTGACAGTGTTTAGAGACAACACATTGAGGCAACGCACACTTGCTAACAGACTGTAAATACTTTTGACAGGAACACAAATGATATCAGTTTAATGTTTGTTTGAATGGCTGTATAGCATGTTAGTATCTATCAGGCCAAGACTTCACAAATCTATGTAATTAACAAGAGATATTTGACAGATTGAGATTGTCAAAAAGATTTTAAAAATTGACTGCCACTTGACAGATCAATAGAAATCACAATGTTGGCATTTCTCATTGGTTCTAAATAGGACAGCTTTAAGTACAGAGTAATAAGAAATAAGTGACCTTGCCTTTGTGGCAGTTAACCTACTTTGCCACTGCATCTTATACAGACAGACTATTGATTCAGAAATGAAGAGCTTCCTTAAAGTGTCAATTAGAAAGAAGAAGGGTGAGTCCTTCCATTATAAAGCACTGTATTCATCATCATACTTTTTCTGCCAGCATACTTAAATGCATACTGTTACAAATAGGGGGTTATGAAAATGGTAAAAATAAGGATTTTATTTGATAAGGTTTTTATGGGGGATTCATAACCCCCAACTTGTAAGTGCTTTTCTGCAATATACCCGAGCGGTTTGTATAATTAAAGGCACGTGAATTCTTTGTCCTCTGGCACAGCTTTGGTGAGAGGAGTAATAATCCAGGCACATGTGGTTAAACAAATATTTATTACAATGACAAGACACTGACAATGACTACACCACAAAACATACAACACACAAGCTATTCTATGTTCAGTATTTACAAACAAGGCATTTCAAAGGTCTAACATTCTGGTCACCCAGACTGCTACTAAGCATTACATTTTTCACTAAATAAGCCAAATAAGAGATAAGCTGCCTTCTAACTAAATACAATGCAACCTGCACTTTAATCTCTCTCTCTGCACCCCAGATGACACAAAATAAATGGGAGCCTATAACCCTATAACTATAAAAATGCACCCTAAATGGGAAGGAAGTTTCTTACTGTGGTATTTTTTTACCCTAGGAAACCCAAGTTCCCTAAAAACACAGAATAGCAGGCTCTCAAGGAAGCAAGGTTCAAATACTTAGCTCCAGTGAGGTTTGGCTTGGATGATCATGAAGTAGAAGCTCTCGCCTGGCGCAAAACGTCAAATGCTAACTCCTCCGGACTCCTCTTTCTTCTCCTTTTTCCCCGTTTCCTCTCTTCCTCTGTGCTCATAATGAGATCTTATATTGTGTGTTCTGTATTCCTCTTTGACAATCATAAACCCACAACGTACTGTACCTAGGTATAATAAGATAAACCTTACAATTGTTTCTGCTCAAGAGACCTCCCAGACCTCAGCAAACATCCTCTGCTTTGAAGCTAGAAGTGTTTGCTCTGCCAAGTGTCAAGACCTTAAATCTAAGAGACACTTCTCAGTCACCTAAAGCTGTAACAATATCATTACATAACATTGAACAAAATCTTTGACTTGATAACACAAGACAAGAATAAGGGTTTCTAATAAAGGTGAAGAAAAGCAAAAATAGGAATTTCCCAATATTAGGAGTTTTCCCCTTGAATTGATTATTATCTATTCATTAATCTATTTATTAATTATTATCTAATATCAAACACTGTGTAAATTACGATTTTTGTCATTGCTGACTGATTGAACTACATAAAAAGATTTCAAGTGTGTGGACTTTCAATTTCCAACAATTTCCAAACCACCATCCACAGCTCATTGTTACACTCCGTCACATATGGAAATCTATAGGAATAAGAAAGGAATAATTCGCACTCGGTAAACTTTTGTAATTATGACCTAAAACATTTGTATTATTATACTTCAAATTATGTGAGCAGTGCAGTGTGATTGTGTGTATATTAGGTAACAGCTAGTGCTGTTTTGCTAACTTCGAAGACAGGATGTCAGTTTGGAGCGATGACAGTTGTAGTATTACAGAAATTTATTTTTCTTGGGCCCTCTACGGAAGCATTGGGAACTGCTTCTAGAGACCAGTAAGTCCAACTTCTATGATGTAATATTTTGAAATAATTAGAAAAAAACCACAGGAAATCTAAATTTAATCTATATTGACATAAGATCCTAGGGGATAGTTAACATGGTTTTAGTAAGATAAGATCAATTTATTGGCCATATGCAATTTCTTGTATTAGGAATTTGTTTTTTCGCATACCCCAACTTGCTCTCCATGAGACACACAGATTGTAATGAATGCTGTGTCCATGAGGTAGAGGAAGGACCCTGTGCATTGTTCCGAGAGTTTCAGGAGATCAGGAAAAAGGATGAAAGGGAGAGATCGATAGCTGCTTATCGAAATCGCTGGGCTGAAGTTGGAGTCAAGGGTCGAAGGTAGAATATCCAAGACTAGACTTTCAATCAGAAAGAGAATATCTCAATAGAAAATGGGGAGGTAGGAGCTCCAAGGGTAGAGGCTAATATTGAATGCAGACCTGAGGGTAATGAAAGTTTAAATATTCCAGGAAGTGGAGGCTTTGGTTATTAGTGTGGTGTTGTAATTGGATAATTGATCAGTGCGCTGGCACTTGCTGGAAGTACCCATAGCTGTGGCCTGTTTAGTGAGAGGTCGTTTACAGGATAGAATACAGTTGCTGGTGGACGTGACACAGACAGGCTTGGGGTCAGAGCACAGGGTCAGCCATACTCTGCTTTCCTCCCCACTGGTAGCTGATGTGTGGTGAGCGTTCTGGCGCACTATGGCTGCCGTCGCATCATCAAGGTGGATGCTGCACATTGGTGGTGGAGGGGAGTTCCCATTACCTGTAAAGCGCTTTGAGTGGAGTGTCCAGAAAAGCGCTATATAAGTGTAAGCAATTATTATTATTATTATTATTATTATTATTATTATTTATACGGCGCCCCTGGAGCAGCTGGGGTTAAGGGCCTTGCTCAGGGGCCCAACGGAGTAGGATTCCTCTGCCGGCCACAGGATACAAACAGCAACCTTCCAGCCACAGGCGCAGATCCTTAGCCACAGAGCCACCACACCTCCCCTAAAGTAAAAGGCAGGCCTTGCTGAACAAACATGTTAGAGTTCATTGAACTGTGTGTAATGGACATACACAGAAAAAGCAATTTGGTACAGTATATTGAGATTTTTAAAAGGCTTTTGAAATCGTAAGCTTAACCCTCATTAAAGTTTAATTCTTACAACTTAATTGCAGTCAATAGTTGTTCAAGGTAATATGTGTACTTGATCTGAGAACAGGATAATGGATAGGAAACTAAGAGTACATATGCTCAAAATGAGGTGATGGAATTAGAGGAGTACCACAGGGATCTATACTAGGACCACTGCTCTTCCTG